CTTCCATTGCTCTCCCATTTTCCTCTACTCTATGTTTTCCCTGGATAGCAGCCAGAGGAATTTTTAAAAACTGTCCAGTGGATCTCATAATCCTTGCACTAAAAAAATCCTTCAGTGGCTTCCCAATACACTTGAGATATAATCCAAATTCCTAACATGACCTTCAAAGTCTCCATGACCTGGCCCCTGCCTCCCTTACTACTGTTCTTTATATACTGCTTTCTACCTTTCTTCTGCACACTGGCTCTTTTTCAATTCTTCAAACCCACAGAATTGTTTGTTGCCTCAGGCCATGGTACCTGCTGCTCTCTCTGCTTAAAGTCATTTTCTGTCTATTCTTTATCTAACTCATTTATCTTTCAGATAACAGCCCAAAAATCACTATATCAGAAAGGTCTTCCCTTGGTTCTCCAACATAAATTCGGGCTCCCTCTATCACGCTTCCATCTTACCAGTTATTTACTTTCACATAATATCTAAGGGTATGTAATTACTTATTTGTGTATATGTGTGCATATGTGTGTATTCGTATACTTTTTTGGTCTCTCTTAACACATTATATGCTCCCAGAGACACAAACCATCTCCTTTTTGTCTATTACTGAGTACCCAATGTTCAGCACAGTACTTAGCACAAGAAATTTTTTTGAATGGATATATGACCTTATAAGGTGAGTAACTCCTTACTAGAGATGAGGATACTAAGACCCAAGCAACCTTTTTTTTTTTTTGAGACAGAGTCTCACTCTGTCACCCAGGCTGCAGTACAGTGGTGCCATCTCAGCTCACTGAAACCTTCGCCTCCTGGGCTCAAGTGATTCTCCTGCCTCCTGAGTAGCTGGGATTACAGGTGTGCCCCAACATGCCCAGCTAATTTGTATATTATTAGTAGAGACGGGGTTTCACCATTGTTGGTCAGGCGAGTCTCCAACTCCTTTCCTCATGATCTGCTCACCTCGGCATCCCAAAGTACTGGGATTACAGGCATGAGCCACCGCACCCAGTCCCCAAGCAACTTTTAAGAACTGCATCAGTATTCTAATGTCTGGCTAGAAAGTACTAGAAAAAAATTTTTTTCCAGCATGTCTGTTTGATTCTGAAGAATATGGTGGTAGATTAATACTGTCTAGACAAATATGATTTCTACTAGGTTTTTTTTCAGATGCCCACATAGGCATTCACATGTATATGCAGACATATTCTAAATGGTAAAATTTTCAAGGCTTTCTTTCTTGGAAGAAAATATTTTCTGATTTTTATTTTATGGCTTTTTTCTCCACTCAGCTACAATTCATGACCATTGGACACTATTCAGCTCATTGTTCTTTCACTAAGTCAGACACAGTGAAAGAACAAGCAAGGGACCAAATGGACATTTTTTGCTGGGTCAGTGGAGGTGCTAGATTCAAACAATCATTTAATGACTACATAACTAACTTTTCAGAATGTTCTCCCTAAAATAATTTTGTGAAACTCATTTCTAGTTACCGCAAGTAAAATTTCTTTCAAAACCTTTTATGTTAATTTTTTTGCTATTTCTTCTACAGCACAGCCACATGATTTAAAAGGCCAGGTTTCCGCAGGCTTTCATTATTTCACTGCCTTCAGTGAGAGCATGAGAATCTGCTGCATCCTTGAGAGCAGCCTCAAGTCAAACAAAAAGTAGACCTTAATTGCGCTGAGCATTTCTGTTAGGGATGATAAACATTTTTTCTCCCCTCTTGTAAGTTCAGTAACAGAGGCCGGCAAATTAAATTGGCAAATGACAGATAAACAGGAGAAAAGGTTTATTTCATATGCATATGGTGGGAGGGGGGCTCCCAGAAAAGAAGTGAAAACCCAGAAAACCAGTTAGGCCTGAGAGCTTATATATCATTTTTTTTTTAAGGGTGATAAATTGTGGAGAAGTGATAAGACACAGGACAAGGGGTGGGGCTTGTGAAGGTGGTAAATTGTGAGTAAGTAAACTATTTGAGGGAAGCTACTGGAAGACAAGGGTTATTTTGCAAGGTTTGCCATAATGACTCAAGACTCTCCGTCTAGAAAGGGATGGGGAGGAGAAACGACTTCACAAAGGGAAATTTATTTCCTGCTTTTAGGCAGAAATTGGAAGAGCAAAGTGTTTCTTTTGCTCTGCTGTTTCTTAATTGCCTTCAGCTCAAAATAATCCTTATGCCAAAGTGGCATATTTTGGCGTGGCATATTCTGGATCTTCTTCAATGTCCAACAATCCCAAGGAAATGGAAAAGTGGGGAGGAAAGAAATGATTTTGGAGGAAACCCCTTTTCAGGAACTTCTTCTCAAATTGGATCGCAGAAGTATTCTGAGACCCTCTAGGATTTTCCTTTTTTCCCCCCATTTGTGTACAATATACACAAAACATAAAATTTACCATTTTAGCCATTTTTAAGTATAAACTTCAAGAATATCAAGTATATTCATATTGTCGTGCAACCATCACCACCATCTATCTCCAGACTATTTTCATCTTGCAAAGCTAAAACTACATGCATAAAACACTAAGACCCCGTTCACCACCGCCCTTCCTTCCCCACAACCACTCCCCAACCCCCAACAGTCTCTATGAATTTGACTACACTATGTATCTTATATAAGTTGCATCATACAGCATTTATCCTTTTATGACTGGCTTATTTTACTAGGTGTAATGTCTTCAAGCTTCATTTATACTGTAACGTGTCAGAATTTCCCTCTCTCTTTTATTTTTGAGACAGGATTTGCCCAGGATGGTCTTGAACTCCTGGATTCAAGTGATTCTCACAAATCAGCCCCCTAAGTAGCTGGGATTACAGGGATACATTGCCATGGCTGGGTCCCTCAATTTTTAAGGCTGGATAATATTTTATTACATGTATATACCACATTTTGTTCATCCATTCATCCATTAATGGACACTTGAGTTGTTTCTACCCTTTGGCTATTGTGAATAATGCTGTTATAAACATGGTTGTACAAATGTCTTTTTTGAATCCTTGTTTTCAATTCTTTTGGATATATACTCAGAAATAGAATTACTTAATCATACAATAATTCTTAGTATTTTGCTGTACCAACCATTTTACATTCCCACCAGCAGCACACAAAGGTTATGATTTTTCCACATCCTTGCCAACACTCATTATTTTCTGTTCTGATTTGATTATAATCATCATTCTAATAAGTGCGAAGCGGTATCTCAATCTCATGGTTTTGATTTGCATTTCCCTGATGATTAGTGATCTTGGGTCTCTTTGCATGTGCTCACTGCCCATTAGTAGATCTTCTTTGGAGAAATGTCTATTCAAGTCATTTGCCAACTTTTTAATTCTTTTTTTTTTTTTTCCTTTTCTCAGAAAGGGCATCAGTACATTACTTAAGTTTAAGAGAAACTGCCAACCAAATCCTAGAGATAAATCTGTTAGGTACTTGATATTTCTTACAAATACTACTTGATATTTCTTACAAAAACTATTGCTATTATAGGTAAAACAATCTCCACTTAATTTTTAAATTTAAAAATTTTAATTTTTAAAATTATTAAGTGTGAAGTATAATTCACATACAGAAAAATATGCATAAGAGTACAGCTTGAATTTTCACAAACGGACACACATTTATAACTAGTGCCAAAATCAACAGAGAGAACCTTAGTGGTTGCTAACTGGAAGCCCATCTTCCAGTCGTTATCTCCTTGCAGTCACTATCCCCACCCACTAAGGTAGCTATTATGCTAACTTTTAGCAGCTTAGTTCTTCTGCTTTTGTACTTTATAAAAATGGACTTAATGTCACGTGCACTTTTGTTGTCTTTTTACGCTGGGAGTTAGGTTTCTGCAGTTGATCCATGTCGTTGCTTGTAATTGCAGATGGTTCTTTGCGTTGCTGTATAGTGTTTCATTACATGAACCCGGTGCAAATTCTTTCATTTATTCTATTGTTGATGGTCTTTTGGCTTAGTCTCATTTAGGGATTATTACAATAAATGCAGCTATGAACATTCTGATTCCTGCCTGTCGGTGCACCCTAAGTATTGGTTTCTGTTTGCTGTGTATGGATGCGTGGAACCGCGGGGCCATAGGGTATGCACCTTTTGCAGACAAAGCCTTTTGTTCAAAGGAGTTGTTCCAGTTTACATTCCAGCAGCAGAGAAGAATGCAGTTACTGTACATCCTGGCCAACACTTGGTATTTTACACTTTTTTTTTCTATTCTATTTTGAAATATAAAAACATATCGGCCGGGCGCGGTGGCTCAAGCCTGTAATCCCAGCACTTTGGGAGGCCGAGGCGGGTGGATCACGAGGTCAAGAGATTGAGACCATCCGGGTCAACATGGTTAAACCCCGTCTCTACTAAAAATACAAAAAATTAGCTGGGCATGGTGGTGCGTACCTGTAATCCCAGCTACTCAGGAGGCTGAGGCAGGAGAATTGCCTGAACCCAGGAGGCAGAGGTTGCGGTGAGCCGAGATCGTGCCATTGCACTCCAGCCTGGGTAACAAGAGCGAAACTCCATCTCAAAAGAAAAAAAAAGAAAGAAAGAAATATAAAAACAACTGCAGCAAAGTTGAGATTACTTTTACGGGACCTTTCCGTTTTTGGTTTGCTTCTATGAATAATTAACCATCTCAGGCTTCTATTTTGTCCAACCAATTCCTGCAGGCTGTGAGTGCGTTTTCGACTTTGCTCGACATTTTTTGCTCACTCGGCCACTTAAGATGTCATTTGGTCAAGAAAATAAGGTATGTGTCCGAAGCGGGGCAAACCCTTTGAGGACTCTGGAAGTCTGATTACTCTGTAGGCGAAACTCATACGGACAGTCTTCGGCCGATTTCTCTTTTCTAGAGTTCACGGTCTGGGAGATCCTGCTCGCCTGTGGTCCACCCGCTGCCCTCCCCGGCTCCCCTGAAGGCATCTGGAAAGCCGAGCAGCAGCCCGCCACCCGCCACCCGCCAGAACAGGGGCGGGGCGGGGCAGCGGGTCCGCACAGAGCATGCGCAGACGAAGTCCGGCGCATGCTCAGCAGCGCGGCGAGTCCACAGATGAGGGGAGTCGAGACTCTCGCGCCCCACCGCCCCCGGTGGAGCTGCTGCTGAGCCGCTCAGTCTGAGCCCTGGCTACGAATAAAGTTCGTTAAAAAATCATAATCATTCTTAAGAGAGCGAAAGACAGTGCGAGCCAGTCGCGCGGCACCGCCGGGAGAGCTGGCGCGTCGGGAGGAGGCAGTGGCGGCAGCGGTTGCGCCGCGACCAGGAGGAGCCGGTGGCGCCGGGCAGCGGGTCCGCGGCCGGCGGGGGACGGTGAGTAGCGGCTCGCGCTGCGGTGCAGCGGCGCTGCGCTCACTTCACTCGCCCTCTCCAGAGGGATGGGGATTCGTCCGGCTTCGCTGGGGAAGAGCTCGCTTCTCCCCGGGGTCCTGGGCTGTGCCTTACTCTCTGAGTGGCCAGGGGTATCGGGGGCAGGGGCCTCCAGGCCTGGCTCCCATCCCCTAGTTTTGATCGCCTAGCTCCCGCTCTCCCGCCCCTGAGCACGGATCCCAAGTTCCAGCTGGAGAAAGTGGGCGGCCGCGCCAGCCCGGCGCCCCCTCCCCGCTCCCAGCGGTCGGTACCTGGGATTGCCCCATGGGCGGGAAAGGGGTGGAGCGGGGGCGGTGCTGCGTCCCCAGTCTGGCCGAGCGTTCGGCTTTTCGCCTGCCCCCAGTCCCGAATGGGGTAGGGGCGACCCAGGCCGGCGAGAAACTAGGAAGGGCGTGAAGTGCTCAGGTTAGGTTTGACGGCGAAGAGGGTCCTCAGCCCCACCTTGGCATTTAGACTCCTCTTCTCCCTGCAGTGGGACCCCTCTTTACCCGCGACCCCACCCTTCCCTAGTTTCTTGCTTAGAGAGTGCAGGAATACGAATGAGCCAAATTGCACTATTCTATTGACACTGGTTGCTACAGTATTAACTTTACTCGGAGATCCGAGGAGCCATCGGCTTTTGCCAGGAGTAATAACTTCATTATCAGGAGCTAGTGAAGTGGCAGTAGGGCCTGAAAAGGGGTGTTAACTTCTCTAGGTCTTTATATAACTCCTAACATCTAGGTAATTTCATTGACCCTAGGAAGTTTTTCAGTATTTTTACAAATATAACCGTACTTCTTAAAGGCTGTTATGAGAACACCTTTTTATTAGTGAGTTAACTCACCCTTTTCTAATTTATTAAACTGCATTAGCAAAATTTAAAAAGTTTTGGGAAAAGGGTGTTTATATAAAGCATTACTGTCGAGGTTTTTAATTGTACTCAGAATTATGCTTATTTCTAGGAAAGTAATTGTTTTGATCTAGTGGTTTAAGTCTATAGTTTCTGAAAAGCAAAAGTCCATCTACCTGTTAAAATTTAATTTGGTTTTTTTCTTTAAATTTAAGGAAATCAATTTATTATTAAAAAATGATATGTTAAAATTTATCTTTTTTTGGCATACAGTTCTGCGAATTTTAGACTCATCTAACCACTACAAAAAGGATGTAGAACAACTCCATCAACCCCCACACACACAAAAACCAAATGTGATCCCTTTATATCATACTCCTTACCCCTGGCAATTACTTATTTTTTTCTAGAAATAGAATCATAACAGTTGGTAATCTTTTCATATTACCTTTTTTTTTCACTCAGCGTAATGTCTTTAAGATTTATCCAAGTTTTTTCATGTATGGATAATTTTTTTATTTTTGAGTACTGTTTTATTATGTGGATATGCCACAGTTTGTTTCTACATCTGCCCATTGAAGGACGTTTAGGTTTTCAGTTTTCTGTGATTGTGAATCGATCTGCTATAAATACCATGTACAGATTTTTATATGAACATGTTTTCATTTCTCTAGGGTACTTCCAGGAGTGGCTTGCAGGGTCATATGGTAAATGTATGTTTAACTTCTGAAAGACAAACTGTTTTCTGGAGTGTGTGTCATTTTGCATTCCCACAAGCAACACGTGAGAGTTCTAGTTGCTCCACTTACTCCCAGCCTTTGCACCTACTCCCGTTTGGTAGTGTCAGTATTTTTAAATTTAGCCATTCTAATAGGTATGTAGTGGTATCTCATTGTGGTTTTAATGTGCCTTTAACTAATGGCCACAGATGTTGAATATTTTTTCATGTGTTCACTTGCCACATGGATTCTTTGGTGAAGTATCTGGCAAGTCTTTTGCCCATATTAAATTGGGCTGTTGTCTTATGTTGAGTTTTGAGGGTTCTTTATATGTTTTGGATACAAATTATATGTCAGATACTTGTTTTTCAGATATTTCGTTCCAGTCTGTCTTGTCTTTCCATTATCTTAACAGGGTGTTTCAGACAGCAGTGTTTTTAATTTTGGTGAAGTCCAGTTTATCAGTTTTTCCTTTTGTGGATCTTCTAAGTGTCATGTCTAAGAACTTTGCTCAACCCCAGGTCAGGATTTTCTCCTTCTAAAAAATGTCTTGTTAAAGTTTTCCGTTTAGGTCTGTGATCCCTTTGAATTAATTGTGTAAGGTGTGAAGGCTTACTTTTTTGCATATGGATGTCTAGTTGTTCCATCACCATTTGTTGAAAAGACTGTCTTTTCTCCATTGAATTGCTTTTGCACTTTTGTTAAAAATCAATTGGCTTTATTTGTGAGAGTCTATTTTGGGCCTCTTTTGTTCCATTGATTTACTTAGCTCTCTCCCTTTGCCATTATCACACTTTGTTAATTTAGCATTATAATGTCTTAAAACTGGGTAGGGTAATTTCCTCCAGTTTTATTCTTTTTTCAAAATTACTTGAGCTATTTTTGATTCTTTTTTTGTTTTGCTTTGTTAATCAATGAGAGCTTGTTATGTTGCTCAGGTTGGCCTTGAACTCATAGCCTCATCTCCTTAAGCGCCAGGACAACTGGCCGGAGCCACCGTGGCTCCCAGCTATTTTGATTCTTTTACTTTTCTGTGTAAAGTTTAGAATCAGCTTGTGGATACAGAAAAATTTTGCGGTGCTTTGACTGAAATTGTATTAAACCCATAGATCAATTTAGGGAGAATTGCTATGTTTACTTTGTTGAGTCTCCCAGTCCATGAACATGATATGATATGTCTTTCCATTTATTTCAGTCTTTGATTTGTTTAGTGTTTTATAGTTTTCAGCATACAGATTATGTACATGTTTTGTTACATTTATACCTAAGTATTTAATATTTTGGAGCTATTATAAATTTCATTTTAAAAAGTATTGGTTTCAAATTGTACATTGTTTGTACATAGAAATACAATTGAATTTTGTGTGTTATAAATATGTCCTCTGACTTTGCTAAACTCATTAGTTCAGAGTTTGGTTTTTAAATTTTTGGTAGATTCCTTGGGTTTTTCTACAGAGATAATCATGTCACTTGTGAAAAGAGAAAGTTTTGTTTATTTTTTTCCTAATCTGTGTTTTATTTTTTTGTTTGTTTGTTTCCTATTTCACTGACTAGAACTTCATGTATCGTGAATAGGAGTAGTAAGAATAGATAACCTTACACTGTTCCCAACCTGAAGGGAGAGCAATCTGTCTTCCAGAATTTTTATGTTACAGATGCCTTTTTTTTTTTGTTTGTTTGTGGCAGAATCTCACTCTGTCACCCAGGCTGGAGTGCAGTGGCACAATCTCAGCTCACTGCAATCTCCACCTCCCAAGTTCAGGCAATTCTTATGCCTCAGTCTCCTGAGTAGCTGGGATTACAGGCAAGCAATCCTGCACCCAGTTAATTTTTTGTATTTTTAGTGGAGATGGAGTTTTGTCATGTTGTTCTGGCCGGTCTTGAACTCCTGAACTCAGGCAGTCTCCCGGCTGAGGCCTCCCAGAGTGCTTCCTTGGCCTTATTCTACTTCTAGTTTGCTCAGAGTTTTCTCACAAATAGATGTTGAATTCGGGCGCGGTGGCTCACGCCTGTAATCCCAGCACTTTGGGAGGCTGAGACGGGTGGATCACAAGGTCAAGAGATTGAGACCATCCAGGTCAACATGGTGAAACCCCGTCTCTACTAAAAATACAAAAAATTAGCTAGGCATGGTGGCGCATGCCTGTAATCCCAGCTACTCGGGAGGCTGAGGCAGGAGAATTGCCTGAGCCCAGGAGGCGGAGGTTGCGGTGAGCCGAGATTGCGCCATTGCACTCCAGCCTGGGTAACAAGAGCGAAACTCCGTCTCAAAAAAAAAAAAAAAAAAAAATATATATATATTTCTTCTACATCAATTGATACTACGTTGTGTTTTTTTTCTTGAGTTTATTAATATGGTAGATTGTACTGATTGCTTTTTGAGTATTTAGCCTTGCATTCCCAGAATAAAGTCCACTTGGTTGCAGTGTATTATTGTTTTAAACATTGCTGAATTCAGTTTATTAATACTTTGCTGAAGATTTTTACGTCTTAGTTCAGAGAGTTTATTTGTTTAATTTTCTTTTTTGTAGTGTCCTTTTTGTGGTTTGTTATCAAGATAACGCTGCCTTCATAAAAAGAGTTGGGAAGTGTTTCCTTGTCTCTTCTGGAGGAAATTGTGTACATTGGTGTTAATTTTTTAATGTTTGGTAGAATTTTTCAGTGAAACTGCCTGTCCCTGTAGATTTCTTTTTGAGTTTTTACATTACAAATTCAGTTTCCTTCATAGTTATAGGAGTATTCCAATCACCTATGTTATGTTGGGTGAATTATGGTAGTTTATGCTTTTCAAGAATTTGGTTCATTTTGTCTATGTTGTGACATTTATGTGTATAGGGTTGTTATGTTATCCTTTTGAGTCTGCAGAGTCTATGTTGCTATCCCCTGTTTCATTCCCGGTGTTGGGTATTTGTATCTTTTCTCTTCTTGGTATTAATCTCACTAAAGTTTTGTTAAATTTATTGATCTCCTCAGAAAGCCAGCTTTTTGTTTAATCAGTTTTTCTGTTTTCAATTTCACTTATTTCTGTCCTTTTTTAGTATCTTCTTCCTTGTTTACTTGCTTTGGGTTTATTTTGCTCTTCTAGTTCTTGAGGTGAGTGCTTAGATTACTGAGTTGAAACTTTTCTCCTTTTTTAAGGTAAGCATTTAGTGCTCTAAATTTTCATATTTCAGGCTGGGCACAGTGGCTCGTACCTGTAATCCCAGCAGTGTGGGAGGCCCAGGTGAGCAGATCACTTGAGGCCAGGAGTTAGAGACCATCCTGGCCAACATGGTGAAATCCTCTCTGCTAAAAATAGAAAAATTTGGGAGGCCGAGGTGGGTGGATCACGAGGTCAAGAGATGGAGACCATCCTGGTCAACATGGTGAAACCCCGTCTCTACTAAAAATACAAAAAATTAGCTGGGCTTGGTGGCGCGTGCCTGTAATCCCAGCTACTCAGGAGGCTGAGGCAGGAGAAATACCTGAACCCAGGAGGCGGAGGTTGCGGCGAGCCAAGATTGTGCCATTGCACTCCAGCCTGGGTAACAAGAGCGAAACTCCGTCTCAAAAAAAAAATAGAAAAATTAGCTCAACATGATGGTGGATGCCTGTAGTCCCAGCTATTCGGGAGGCTGAGACAGGAGAATTGCTTGAACCTGGGAGGCCAAGGTTGCAGTGAGCCAAGATCACGCCACTTCACTCCAGTCTAT